AAATGCATGGATGGGGGGCCGTGACGACCCTCAGGTCTTCCTGGAAACGTTCCAGGCCACGGCAGAGACATGGCAGTGGCGGAGTGGGCGCCGCGGCTGCTTCCACTGCTGTCAAGGGAAGCTCAGATGGCAGCTCTGAGTCTGGCGCTGACCTCGCGCGGCAGCTTCACTGACATCTGCTGGGAAGTGCCGGACCGATTGGGCCTGGAGGCTGACTGGGGAGGACCATCCGTTTGTGTGGGCCCGGAAACTGCACAACGTGGTGGCACGGTGAATGCAGGGTCCTGGAAGTGCAGGTCCTTAGAATGAGGTCCCGCCAGCTATGGAAATTCTTCCCACGGGACATTTCCCACTGGGGCAGTTTCGTGATGACAAACTACTCTCAGGCATTGACCTAGAAATTGATGGTGACGTGCTGCACCCTGAAGCCGTGCAGACCTACCAACGCTTCATATTACTGAGAGATAAGAGGCGGCTCGTCATTCTTTTTTGGCCATTTTTAGAGAAATGTTGCGCCACATAATACTGACCTATGAATCGCCCAAGCCTCAAAAAGGCACCTAACTTCAGGAGAAATATTCCTGACGACCACTTAAAAATGACAAAAAAAAAAAGCTTGTGTAGGAGAATCCAAGCTGTGTTGAAGAGTAAAAGTTGTTGTAAGAATTCAGTTTCAGTGTTTGCCTGTTTCAACAAATCGCTGCATTCATTTCCAATTTTCCAAGTAAAATATGAAGCAATGAGGGCTAGCTCGAGACTTTGGCAGTGTACTGTAATGCTTCACTTTGCTCAAATATTGATCAGAGTCATGATTGGATGGGTTACAGGCAGTTTTCTGATTCATTCATTTTTGGATTGAACCTTAAACTTGATTCTTAGCCACCATAAATGTTTCCTATTGTTGATTCGAATAAGTCAACAAACCTTTAAGCAGCTGTTTGTAGAACTGAGGTTCAATGGCACCAACAGCCATGAACTGTCCATCCGAAGTCTGGTAGGTATCGTAGAAGGGAGCTCCACTGTCCAACATATTTTCTCCTCTAGACCGGTTCCACAAACCAATACTACGAGATTTCCATAAAAACGAACCCATATATGCTGCTCCTTCCACCTGAAGAGTATGAGACAGGAAGACAGGGATTCATATTTCATGTCATTGAAAAAAAAGAAACAATTTTCTTTTCATTTTTATTTTTTCCTTTAATTCATTAGTGTGAGTGTAGATAACTGTCACACATATGACAGAGGATATTGTTTTTTTAAGCAGGTTGGCATGAAAATCTTTAGAGAACAGAAAATACAAAGCAAAGATGAAATGTGGTGTCAGTGCAACAACGACACGCACAAATCACATTCTAAATACTAACACAGCTTTCTGTATTCAGAGCTTATTTAAACTGGTGCTGCTTCCACTGCTGCTGAGTAAACAGAAAAAGCTTGATCAAAAAAATAATGAATGCATGACATAAAAAATGCAAATAATAACATTGCTGGGAGGGAATCAGTCAGCAATAGTGCTTCTGCAAAGGCAGTAAGAGAGTAACTACCATCACTCTCTTACTGCTGATTACAATCACTTTGTGTGACCTTTAATTGACAGCATGCTTATTATTAAGGGTTACATGAGCAAATACGTTTAACTGGATTTATCAATACATCAGCTAAACATACATACCACATAATTAACATTTAACTATGGCAGTGGCTGAAGTTTAAGCTTTGAGTCACATTAATCTTGTGCTTGGACTTTGTTTTTTCCCCTCGCGTTTTTTTTTTTTTTTTACTTGCCTGGCACTAGAAGGGTCAACGACAGCACTAAATTAGCACAAAGGCACTAGTACCGGCCAAATGGTTATCATAAAAACCGATGCTGGCATCAGCCCCGGATTTTACAAGCTGTGCATCTATATAATACAGCTCTGTGAGCCGTCAGAGACAAAGCAGAGTGGAGAAAGATCTCCAGCTAGTCGGGGCTTCAGTGATTTCACTGTTACTCGCTGCCAAAAAAACCCCCAAATTATTGTTTGAAGAAGATTGCTTTCTCTTTTGATGATCTTCACTCATGAAAAATGCATTTCTGGTTTAGAACTATGAGACCATAAGTGTGGAGTGCAGTGTTAATAGTCTGTTTTCTTGTGTACCTCATACTGTATACAGCAGC